AGTTGACACACCTGTGGCATACAGGAACTCACAGCAGCAGCTATGGTTACCTGCACAACACCTCCTTAGTTGACTGATGTCCATTGGTCTTTTGTCTAGTCTTATATCACTTCAAAAATAAAAGAAACAAACAAAAGGAAGTTATAGCCAGAATTCATTCTCGGGTATTTATTTTTCTATTTACTATAATCCTACAACTCTATGTTGATGAGAGATAACATATATAATGCAAAAGAAAAATAATATTCCCAGAGGATTGAAAATTTTTAAAAGAGCTGTGATAAGTAAAGTTCTTGAAGTAGCATAGTGACCTAAGCCATTTTTGATCTCTCTCTCTCTCTCTCTCTCTCTCTCTCTCTCTCTCTCTCTCTCAATATTTACAGCAGTGGGTGTCTGGCTAGAAGGCCTGACCCCCTGGAAGGGTATGTGGCTTATCCCTAGGCTAGAGATTCCTAGGATGGACAGTTGTGTGGAAGAATAGATTCCAATGGGATATGAAGAGATAGCTGTCTTACCCTGGCTGAAGGAGAAAGGTCTAGCATGGCCCTTGGGCAGCTCCCCAGGCCATTTGATTTGAGGATATAATCGTGCTATTCGACAGGAAGAAGTCGTGGGAAGGGACAACTCCTTCCCCAGAGGAAAGCACAAGAAAGGGAAAGAAATTCAGATTGGAAAACTACAATGGGAATGGAAACTGTTACAAATACATAGCATCACTATAAGCATTCTTGATTTTCCCTTTGCTGATAGAGACTCAGCTGATGGGGTTCTGCCCAGCAAGACCCAGTGGAAGGCAAGGCAGCCCAGCCGTATTCCTGGAGTGCCTAACACTGTATGTTTCCCGGGTCTGCATACCTGTCCTCTCACTAGAGTCCTTAGCTGTCCATTGTCTAGCTGGGATATGTTTGTCTCTTATTTGTGAAAGATGAACTCTACGCGATTACTTCTCAACTCTGTGACCTCCACATTTCTTGACATCATTCGGCACTCATCCTTTGAGGCACGAACCATTTTATATTTCCATCACTGATAAAGTCATCTTTCCAGAAATTTTCTTTCCAGAGATGCCTCACTATCGAAATGTAAATACTTTCCTAATAAACATTTTTAAAACATGAGTGGAAATCCAAGAGGAAATGAGGAATTTCCAGAAATTCAGATTTAAGTAAACACAGACATCCGTTTCAAAATTCTTAGGAAATACGGTATTTTTTTTTAATTGTGACATCATGGAAACATATTTGCTTACAAATTATCCAGCTTCCTTTTTGCCTAAAAAGGGTTTGTTATTTCTGGATCAAGACTTCCCAAAAGACTGGCCAAAATAACTGGAAGCTAAGATTTTGATCCCACCTCTAATTCAGGAGATTTTTTGTGTGAATCCTATTTAAGCTTTATAGCGGAAATGATACAAAAATCACTAGAAAAATACTTTTTAATAGTCTAACCAAATCAAGTCCAAAACTGATTAACACATCCCACTATGGTGGCAAAAAACTCACCAAGCTTTTCTAGAAAGATGAAAATATTCAACTTTATCTGGCATGGTGGTGTAGTTTTAATTTCAGAACTTGAGAGGCAGTGGCAGGAATTTTACATGTTTGAGACCAGCCTGGGCAAAGTAATGAGAACACACACACCACCACCACCACCACCACCACCACCACCACCACCACCACCACCACCAAACAGGAATGAACTTATATTTAAACTATATATAAGAAACATGTTACAAGGCTGAGACAGAGCAGTTGGTTACTATATGATGGCTTAATTATTTGACTTTGCAAAATAAAATTAAAATGGAATTTTTTCTCCTTTATATTAAATATGAAAAGCTGTAATGACCAAGGCATGAGCATCACAAACTGAAGATGTCAGACTTTCACTGGTAAGTTGATAGAGTGGATACAATAACAGATTCCAGATTTGGGTCATCTTTGGGGTGGCATTCCAATCTAGCTTTACTATTTATGAACTGAGGAAATCAAGACCAATCATCACATGCCACACATTTCCAGTTCTTCATTTATAAATTGTATTAGAATATCATTGGTAAAAAGGGGTGATTTTATAACAAAAATTAAAATTCAGTAAATGTTGTGCCATAATTCTCTAGAGTATATTAAAATGTAAAGAAAATCTCAAATTAATAAGAAAGGAATGCAGTAATAACTTGGACAATAGAAGTTTCCAAAATGCATGTGTTGAAAGCTCATGTTTCCAACCCATGTTGCTGCTGGGGAGTGATAGGGCATGGGAAGGCTGGGCTGAGTTAAGCGGAGTAACACAAACAAATTTTATTTGGAAACATGACTAGTTTCTTGTCTGACAATACCATGGAAAGAACTCAAGTTTGATTGAGGAATTCAAAAGAAAACAGCAAAGAACTACAAGGCTCGTATTTATCTAATATTGGAAAGGAAAGTAAGTAAAAAAAATACGAGAAAAATATGGCTTCTGTATAATTAAACTTCTATAATATTAAGTACCAAATGAAATGTTTTTTGAAAATACTTGCAACAAATGTGAGCTGGAGCAATTATTATTGCAATATAATGAATGCTGGCAAAGTCACGGGAGGGGGGAATTCCCAAAAAAGAACCAGTGAAACAAAACAAAAGTACTGAAAATCCACAGTCTAATAAACATACGTAAAAATATTGATTAATATGGTCAGCATGGTGATCTTGCAAGCCTCAGGACCGGGTTTAAATTCCCATAAAGGAGAAAGGAAAGAATTAACGCCACAAAGTTATTCTCTGAGCTCTACATGCCTGCTATGGCACATATGGCTCTACACATATCATACACAAGCACAGTGATATTTATATGTTTTTGAAAATGATCAGCCAAAGGCCTCAGTGGGTTATGGTGCTTGTCATCAAACATGCCAGCCTGAGTTCAATCCCAGAAACCGATATGGTAGAAAGAAAAAAACAAATCACACAGGTTGACCATTGCCCATCACATATGCTCCATAGTGCACACACACATAAACACAGTAAATAAACAATTAAATATAAAGACTTTTTAAACTAGTCATTAACAATCAAAGAAACGTAGTTAAGTAGGAAACCCAACTAAAAGTTTAAAACATTACATTTTATAGTTCTAGACAGAACAAAATAATTTTATTTTTATTTTCACTTATATACAATAGATTAAGAATGCTTAATCCTGGTAAACAATCCTGATGCTTGGCAAACAAGCCAAATGGACCTTTTAAATGAACAGATGAAGAATTTTAAAGTACCACAGGGTTTGACCTTTTAAAGTATTTAGCTTGCATGAAGGGTTCAGAGACTATCTAAAATTTATATGCAGTGTTTCCTCTAAGGAATTACCCCATGAATAAAATCCCAAGCAAACTAAGTCAACATTTGCAGCTCTTTTCACATCAAAACAAACAGAGAAAATTAATATTTGTGTAACACACCAAGGGACTTAGAATTAGCTATTTGCTAGGAAGTGAGATATAAATAATTACACATGGGTTTGGTAAGCTGAGTTCCTAGTAACATCCTCAGGTCCTGATCATAGCTGCTGATCACATTGATAGCCTGGGGCAACCTGGATGGGAATATCCAACCTAAAAGCCTGACATTTGTTCAAGTATGACAATATTATCTTCTTGTTTCACACTAAAGTGAAAAGTCTTATACTTTCCAAGATGAGCAATAAGAAGACATTAACATACTATAATACATGGCTACACTAATATGCAAACTTTACAACTAGCTGTATAAAATTCTGTGAGAATATGCTTATCATTCTATTTAAAATGAAGAAAATAAGGGGCTGGAGAAAAGGCTCAGTGATTACAGCTTTGAGCTACTCTCCCAGAGGACCTGGGTTCAATTTAGTGCAGCTCATGGCACATGGCATGCTCACGACTGTCTATAACTCTAATGCTTCTTCTGGTCTCCAAGGGCACTAGAAACACAGTTGGTGCACTGATATACACACAAGCAAACACTCATTCATGAGAATTTTTTAAAAATTCAGTAATTTTAAAATCCTATACAAATAATAAAAGGTCGGCATATAGAAAGGATATTTTTTTCAGTTTATTTGAATTATCTCATTTCTGAGACTCCAGTTATGTGTGTGAGAATCTTATATAATAAGAAAAAAGGTTTGGTCTAAATGAATGTAGTTGGAAGATGAAGTCCACAAACAAGTAAGTTTGTGTAGGAAAGCACTCTGTATCTGCTGTTTTAGAGCATCAATGCAGTTTTCTTATTTGTAAAAAAAAGACAAGAATGTAAGGAAAATCCTATTATTGGGAACATAATGCTTTTCTCCCTCTATTAAAGGAGTCAATAGTAATGTGTTTCATGGAGCACACCGGTACAAGTTATAATCAAAGACACCGGGCTTTATTTCTCAACACAAATATCATCCACATTACTTTCCTTCCTGTTCAATCCAGTTATATACAAATCCAATAAAATTTGTAGGAGCCAAAACCGACTTCAAAATATTGAAAATGTCAAAAACTATTTTCCCTTTTGCTTATCGTCTTTGCAAAAAATCAATGGCCCATGATAGTATCCCTGGACAAGCAGAGCATGATGTCCCATATCTTATTGGGTATCATCCACCCAGAAAGATCAATTGTATTTGTTTATACTGTGCACATTCTCCTGCCACATTCCCTTAAAACACAAGGGCAAAATTTAACTAATCTCAGTAAGTAATGTCATACTTTGGCTGTGATGCAATAAAAGGATGTAGAAACGTTGCATTACTTTCCAAAACTACAATTAATGTTTGAACATTTATTGTACCATAGCTCATCCATTAGGCCATTTTTTTTCTATGTGAATATGACATTTAGAAGTTACATTTTTCAAAACTCTTAGAAGTTTTAAAAGATAATATTTGCATAGGTTTGATCCAATATTTCCATCCCTACTGTTTTAGAAATCAACATCCCTGAAATGACTAAAGAAAAAAATCCCACCAGATCCCAAAACTTGGTCAGATAAACTTGCCTGCTGTAGGACCCCGGCTCTAGCAGCTTTACTGGCATCCTGGATCTGTAAGTCATAAAAACTTAGTAAAATTCCACACAGAGAAGGAAGGAAATGATAACAGCTTTGAGAGCTGAACAAAACCGGTATTCATCACTGTTCTTTAGAGAAAATTCATTGCTACAATCACCTGGTGGCAATTTGTCAACACATTGTTTCATGGCACAAAATCCACCATAATTTAAGATGTTTAACCTGGTGAGATGGAAATGAACATGATTCCTTTTATTTTTTCATTTTGCAAGAGTACAAGTCAGATAAAATATACTTAGATTTAAGTTCATAAATGCTGATTATCTGTTTTCCACACACATGATCTAATGCAAGAAAAACATTACAACTTGCTCATCAAGCTATTCAAACTTTACATCAATTTACATGGAATTATATACCCTATAAAATATGTAAAACAATTTAGTTAGCATAATAGTATACTTCAGTGTGGAAAAGAATTTGCAAGATGTCTTGAAATATCAGCTTGTAGAGATAATGAAGCAGAGAAAATTTTTATGGGGTAGATTTCTAGGGGATGGGCAAAAACCACATTAGTAAGAAACAAGGGAGAAAACAGAGAGAGAAAATATTGAATATATATGAGCTATTATGTTGCTTTCAAGTTATCACCTTTTTATTTTACTTGTTCAAATGTGTACATGTATGACTTACAAGAGAAGGAATAAGGATCTAGGAGGTGGGTAGGAGTAGAAGAAGAATGAATTTCTCAAGTAGTAGTGAGCACATACTACTCGGTCTGAAAATAATAGCCAAGCAACTGGAGAATAGACATAACAGTATGTCATCAACCTGCAAATTATAAAGGCCACATGATTACAGCAGATTACAGATCTCCTCCAGTCTTAGCAATCAATGTTCATTGTGTGTAATGGAATTTGTCTTTTAATATAATTCCCCAAAGCATGTGGGATTTAATATAAGAAGATTCTATTCTGCTTATTAACATTCAGACAGGAAAAAGAAACACAGCAGAGACTTTGTGCTGACCTATGCACTGAATCTGAGGAATAAGTTTTAAATGAAGAAAACCCACTTCATCAAATTCTTTCCGGGATAAAGAACCCGTTTAGGAACAATGTCCTTGCTGTCAAAACTCTCTGAGGCGATCAGCCAATTGTTTGTCTTACAGATGCTATCATGACAAATGCTTCTTTATCTTCAAGCCTTTGAATTATCAAAAAAAAAACCCTATTATATTTAGACCTTACCAAATCCATGCAGTTTAAAGTCCACATGCATGGGACTGTTGGAAAATGAACCAAAAATGTGAATTTCTGAATCCAGACAGGTCCAAATCTCAGTATTGAGTAGAGGTAAAAAATATCAGCCAGGAACAAAAGTGGAAGCCATCCACTTTGCAATAGAGGATCAAATAAAGCAGGTGCTTTATTTACTAATTCACAAGACACAGCATCCCGCAGACTTAGAACTAACCAAACTTGGCATCTAATTGAGTGGAGTAGGCCTTTTTCTGAGATAATTCCAGAATCTCCAGAACCTTTAGCATCAGGATCAAGGTGGCCATGGGAACATGAGGTGTGTGTTGGTTTTCTCCTCACTGTCAGTATCTCCCTTGTGGGCTGACACCCTGATCTCTCAGACTTCTTCAATGTAGAACACCTAAGCAAACCTAATCTATAAAGCCCTGAATTCATATGATCCCTTCTTTCATTAAAAAAAGCCACCTCTTAGAATCCAGTCCCTCAACTCCAGCTTTTCACTGTGTGTTTAATCTGATGATACAATCTATCCTTTGAGATTAGCCAATGAGGATTGCCCAGTTAGTGTGTGCTTTATATTGCATGCAGTTATTTAACAAGGACTTAGGATTCAAATAATTTTCACATTGAGAAATTTGAGTTGCCTTCTGCACTACCTTTTTGACCCAGGATTCATCTTAAAATGTTGTGAGACCTCAATTTGCTCAGTTAAAAGTAAATGTAACTTAATTCTCAGGATGATTATCAAGTTCAAAATGAAGTCCAGGAATGTTAATGCCACGTGAGAAACGCTTCATGAAATAAGAGTGTTGTACTATTCTTTACTATTGTTAATACTACTCTAACTCTAGCTAATTTTGCATATTTCCCTCAGTAAATAATACTGAAGAAAAATTATAACTTCTAGTTACTCCTGGACATTTCAGGAAACCTCAACAGAAGTCCTTTCTTAATTTTTCTTCTATTTTCAGTAAGCCATGATAACCAGTTAAAGTCTTTTGGAGTCACTAAATAAAATTCGAAGGAAAAAGTCAAAAAATACAAAGGAAAAAGTTGATAAAATGTCTTTCCTAATTATCTTTTCATCTTTTCTCTGTGTCCAGGTTTTTAATTAATATCCTGAAAACAAAATAAAGAAAACTTAAGATTAAGAGCGCTGTAGGAATTGTGACATTTGAAAAACCTTTATGTAAATCTTGAGCAATTGTTGATCTAAAGCATCTGTCTATTACACTCTGAAGCTAAGCCACAGTGGTCAATACCTGCTGCTTGGGATTTTCCTTTTGAAGACTTTTTTCATTTTGTTGACCCATTTTTAATAAAGGGATTTACCTGACAAATCCAGTTTTAATCTTTATGGATTATGTGTATGCTAAAAAACTTTCTAGAACAGAGCCAAACAAGAGAAATTTTTCAGAAAAAAACATCTGCTTTGAGTGGTGGAAAAAGATAAAAAAAAATCTAAATCTAAGCATTGCCTTTCCAGTACTAAAATATTCAAGAAGTATTGGAAGCACAGATTCAGCCATGAGGAGAAAATTTCTAAAAGGCTGAGTCCACTTATTAATGGGCACCACTCAACAGTGGGAGGGGGCTAGTGAACACAGACAGTGGATGTGGGAATGAAATAACTTTACTATTTGTGACGTATTCATAATTTTGTAGAAAAGCACTGAAAATTTGCTTTGATATGTTTTATATTTGTTACAATAATAAAAAGAAAAATTATTTTGCTTCAATTCCCTATCAGCATTTAGGAAGAGTTACAAGCCTCTCTTTGGTTTACGGAAAATAATGTCCAAAAATAATGTAAATGCATATTTTAGGCAATTTACATGTAATATATAATCATCTTAAAATAATTAACTTTTTAAATCTGCATTTTCTTCATACTGAAAACAGCTATCACCAAGAAATGTCATGTTAATAATACTAATTTATCTATATAATGTTTGAATTAGTACTTATTGCCAAAGGAGATTTAAATAATTTAGCTGGTGTTAAACAGAATCAAACAAGTTTTAAGAATTCAAAATATATTGAATGAATGAAAACAAAATTGATGTACAACAAAATTTTTCATTAGAAAAGCATTGTTTGATCATTGTAGAAAGAAGATAAAAATCTCTAAAAGTCAATATGAAGTCACTTGCAAATAATTTGATTAAACAGAGCTAATTAATTTTTTCCACTAGAATATTAGAAGTTCTAAAGTAAGCCAAGCACTGTAGTGAGAGATTAATTTGATAAGGTCGTTAGAAGGAAAAAAGAATCTAGTAGTGTCCTTTCTAATTAAAAAACAGTTTTTGTTTGGATCAGACAAATCTCATGTAGCCCAGACTGGCCTCCAAGTTGCTATGCACTCTGAACTTTTTTTCCTCCTGTCTCCACTGCCCAAGTGGTAGATTTACAGGCATGGGCCACTATTCCTACTCCTTTTAGAAACATAAACTTAGCTAGATTTCACAGATGATAAAATGAACCCTTGAGAAAAACCTGATTGAGAAGTTATTATAATCTGAATGACAACCCAGCCTTACTATCATGCCATTATAGGTGTGCACTTAAGTCTATGTAGGAGAAAATGTCCTTTTAAAGAAAATTGGATGGGATCCTGGTTAATAATCAAAAATATCATTTGTCTCAAACACAGGTCCCATTGTCCTCTCTGATGTGGCAACATTATTTGAAGTGCTGAATTTGGTTATACTGTGACTCAGTTTACAGAAGGCTCAGCAAGTAAGAATGCATTCAGAGAAAGTGTCCAAGGTATATATTTGAAACTACATAATTGGTTGAAAGTATAGATTGTATGTTGGCTGAATAATTTGTCTTAGATGGAACATGGTGACAGATTGCATTTTAGATTAAACTGTTACCTTGGCATTGCCTAGATTCATCTGAAAAGGGGAACTGAATTGACAGATTGCCCAGATCAGACTGGCTTGTGGGCATGTCTGTGAGTGATTGTCTTGACTGCTGTTGATGTAAGAGGGTCTAGCCTACTGTGGGTGGCATCATTCCCTAGGCAGGCAGTCCTGGGCTGTGAAGAAAGCTAGCTAAACTTGGACCGGTAAGCCAGCAAACAGCATCTCTTCATGGTTTTTACTTCAAGATTCTTCCTGAGTTCCTGCTCTCATTTCCCTCAGTTATGGACTGTCATCTAGAGGCATAAGCCAAATAAGCCCTTTCCTCCTCTAAGTTGTTCTGGTGAGAGTGTTTTAACATAGCAATAGAAAGGAAACTAAAATAGCTCAGATACAAATATCTGAGTACCAGTTAGAAGGAACACTTTAAGTATTGGCTTTAAGCTGTCAAAGTAGAACCAAGACTACTAGCTAGAAAGCAGTTTAGTGACTGAGCTTCTCTGGGCATGTTTTCTCACCCACGGGTATCCATACTGAGGACAAGAGAGGGGACAGTATCTGGGAATGCAGAGGTAAGGGAAGGAAATGACCAACTACTATAAACAATTAATAGGGCTCTTACTGTTTCTAGGGCTCTAGCATATTTAACTCGCTGAGGAATTATTTCAGAGTTTTGCAATTAATATAAAAGACATGTATTATGGGCCTACTACATGCAGATACTCAGTTAAGAAAAGAGAAGTAGAAAAACAGAAATTTCTGAATTTTTATTTTCCATATCTGGGATGATATGGATAATAAACAAAGAATTAGGTTATATATCAGGATGCAGGGACAAGTAATATATAAGAAGAAACACAGAAATGTAAATTTTTAATAAAGTTCAGGAAATCTACAGTGAGAAAGCAGTACTTTAAAAAAGAGGCACTAATCTATTTAGCATTTTTAGAATTAATTTTTTATGGCATCCAATAGAAAAGGTGACAAACTTAATGGAATACTGTGTAATCTGAACGCTGCTTCAGCACAGTGGCATAGGTTCCACTCTATACCCCACAATTTGTTTGACCATCTCAAAATGTGTCTGTAAATGGGGTCCTAAAAGATCTCATTCTCCAAAATAAAGTTACTAAGGTAGTTTAAACCCAGCATCAGTGGTGATTCTTGTGTGATTCATCTTGGGTAAAAGGAGGAACCGGGATATACCAGCAATAAAAAAAGAAGAAAATGTGATGGTATGGGCAGGAGGCAGACATCTCCAAGGCTTCAATAGAAATTAGCTTTATCTCAGGCTTCTACCTCCAATCCAGGAGGAAAAAATACTCCTATTGCTTAAACCACTTGATCTGTGGTACCTCATTATGGGAACCGAGGCAAATGCACAGAGAATTTGCAAGCACCATATGAACACTGTCTGAATATAAATGATTGCATTAGCCTGAGTGTTAGAACAATTCGAAAATCATTTAAAGACTTTTATATTTAGAATTTATATAGAGATTTTTGGTTTTCCTGTATTTATTCTTTTAACCTTGAATTTCACTAAAAGTCAGAAACTGAATCCTATTACACTGTGGTAAAGAGTTAACAAAAATAACAAGGACTTCACACCTGATAATAGCATGCATTAAGGAATATGTAAGTGTTCAAGATTCAGAAAGCATTTACTTTTCTGCTAACATGCATATAGTTCATTTATTAAGTTTGACCAAGTTTGACATGGCAACTCATAAGCTCGTAGAATGTGCCTATGCACTGATCATGCCTAATCTCACAGGAACTAACTACTGCCTCAGTTACATCTTCCACAGGAATTACTACTGCCTCAATCAAGTTTCCCACAACTGCCCAAAGAGCTTAACACAGCTCTGCTGTATATTTAGTAAAGGGGGCACCTACAGCTGTAATAACTCTGCCACTGGATAGAGAACAGTGAATGCATTTAAAGTATACTTTCTAAAAAGAATACTTATCGCTGTGCTTTGTGAATGTTATCTTAGCTATTTCTCACCACCCCACCCCCTGTGTGTGTTATGATTTTAACAAAAACAAATAGTATACTTACAGATTCTGTTAATTTTGGTGTTTTCTCGAAATCTTCACCTTCCTCCATGAGAGTTTCTTCAGCCCCAGGTAAAGAATCTATTTTAATTTTTAAAAATAAAAGTTACACATTGCCTATGCATGAATGGTGGTAAGAGGATATATATATATATATATATATATATATATATATATATATATGGTGGTAAGAGGAAATCAACAGAATCAAACTACTTATTCAAAGAATCATGTTTCTGAGTAGATTTTGAATGTCATTTATTCAGCTTATAGATAAATATGCAAATGAACATATTTCTAATTCAGAAGTGTATAATAAAATCAAAAAAGTACAAGAGCTAATTGCTTTACTTTTGTCCTGACTGGAGAGACAGGACAATAGTTTAGAATGTGTACTCCATATGATCTCACAGAGACAATGGCAGCGGGCACAAGGCCTGCACAGGTCTAAGCCAGAGAGGGTCTCAGTGCTGAAAGAAGTAGTCACAAGCTCACATCCTTAACTCAGAAGCTATCTCCAATTGATAACTGCTTGCAGAGGAAATATCAGTTTTCCCTAACAGAGTCTCAAGGGTTACACAAACCACACCAAAGGGTAGGCCTTAAGCCCAGCAGTAGATGGCCAATAAAAGGAACTCAATGCATTTTTGCAGGGTTTGTTTGTTTTATAATGTTTGTCTGAGCATTTTTTTTTTGACCCCATGGGTATTTTACTTATGTATTATAATTTCTGATTTTATGTCTTTATGGGATTTCTGTCTATATGTGTTTCTTGTACTCTTTCTTTGGCCCTTTCTGTTTGTCTTGTTCTATTCAGTTCAGGCTGCTTTGATTTTATTTTAGCTTACTTTATTTCCCTTTCTTTCTTTCTTTTGGGTTTTTAGATGCCTGGTTTTGTTTTGTTTTGTTTGTTTGTTTTTAGATGCCTTCTTACAAAAGAGAGCAAGAAAGGGCAGAAAGGATCTGGGAGAAGTTGGGGAAGAGAAAACTGTAATCAGAATACACTCTACAGGTGAAAAATAAAACTATTTTTAATTTAAAAAAAGTGTTTGTGCTACTATCATAGAGGACCTGAGTTTGGATCCCAGCATCCACATCAGATGGCTCACAACCACCTATAACTACAGCTCCAGGGATCTAGCAGTCTATTTTGGCCTCTGTGAGCAACTGCACTTATGTGCATATACTCACACACAGACACACACAATACACATAAAAGTAAAAGTAAAATAAATATAAAAATGAGATAACACTTCTTTTGGCATTTATTCAGCTAGAGTTTGGTACATATATATCTTTAATGTCTGTTTTCTGCAGGATTGTATTTCTTGTTTGTTTCATGCTTTCTTTTAGACAGGAAAAGGTATCAATTCTATCAATTGGTATTCTCTCTTTTAAATCAGATGACAAATTATGAAGGAGTCAGCAAGGGTGCAAATTATTAAATGGTGGGGATTTTTAAATTTTTTTATTAATTAATCAAGAAATTAATTTTTCCCAGCCTGATCACAGTTTCCCCTCTCCTCTCCTCCCAATCCCTCTCCTCGACTTCCCCCTCCCCGCATCTACTCCCTCTCCCTTCCCTTCAGAAAAATGTAGGCCTTCCATGGATATAGTCAGCCATGGGATATCAAGTTGCCACAAGACTAGGTACCTCCTCTCCTATTAAGGCTGGATGAGGCAACTCAACTGGAGGAAAGGATCCCAAGATAAGGCAACAGAGTCATCCCTCATCCTGTTCCCTCTGCCAAGAGTCCCACAAGAAGACCAAGCCATACAACTGCAATACATGTGCAAAGGGCCCAGGTCAGTCTTATGCAAGCTCTCTAGTTGGGGGTTCAATCTTCATGAACCCCTGTAAGTCCAGGTCAGTTGACTCTGTGTATTTTTCTGTGGTGTCTTTGGTCCCACTGCTTTCATAACCCTTCCTCCCCCTCTTCCACAGATCCACCTAATGGTTACTGTGGTTCTCTGTGGTGATGTGTGTTCCCCAAAATATTGTGCACTCTAATAAACCAATCTGGGGTCAGAGAACAGAGCAGCCACTAGTCACAGAAGCCAGTAAATAACGGTACACACACCTTTAATCCTAGCATTCCGAAAGGCAGAGATCCATCAGGATCTCTGTGAGTTCAAAGCCACACTGGAAACAGCCAGACATGGTGACACACGCCTTTAATCCCAGGAAGTAATGGCAGAAAGCAGAAAGGTATATGAGGCATGAAAACCAGAAACTAGCCAGGTTAAGCTTTTAGGCTTTTAGCAGCAGTTCAGCTGAGATTCATTCTGGATGAGGACTCAGAGACTTCCAGTCTAAGGAAACAGGATTGGCTGAGAAGTTGGTGAGGTGGGGTAGCTGTGGCTTGTTCTGCTTCTCTGATCTTCCAGCGTTCACCCCAATACCTGGCTCTGGGTTTGCTTTTATTAATAAGAACTTTTAAGATTCATGCTACAGGTCTCTCAATCTGTTCCAATTAATTGCTGGGTGAAGCCTCTCTGAATGGTGGGGGTTGTGACTATTTAGTGTAACTCTTAGAGAAGTGGGTAAGTGGTAACTTCCAATTTCATGAATAAAGTGGTGGGAGCCCCTTCCACACGGCCAACTTAGTGCAGTGTAGAAAACTGTGATTGCTAGAGAACTCTCTCATACTGACAAGTGTATGTCTCATCTACAAATAATCTATGTCAGTGCTGTTAGTTTCCCTAGTCAAATTTAATCTCATATATTGAAATTTAAAGATTAAAGTATTTTAGACCACTGAGTTTTATAAACTTGTTCTTATATTTATTAATGTTAAGAGAGCCCTCGTCAAAGAAGCTTCGCTTTATAGCAAACGCAGACCAATGCAGTAAACCAAAGTTAGACACAATTCCAAGATCAACAGATCATAGCAAGCCCAGCCCTAACGTGTGCGCCTACACCACAGCTCCAGCATGTGTGGCTCAGGGAACATGGCGGGAGAGAGGGCTGGAAGATGTCAGGAGCCAGAATACCAGGAAGCAGAACAGTCTCAGCTAGATAGAGCTATATAAACCAGACTGGAATAATGGCAACATCAATAGACATGGGAACATGTAAGGGAGAAATTTTCGTGGAACCCACCCCTAGACAAAGAATTATAGGAAACTCTTGACAGCTGGGAGAAGAATAATTAGCCTCTCTCAGGGATGAGTTCTCTTATTGATTATCAAATCAGAGCAGTCAGCCCTGAAGCCACATATACACACAACAAAAGCAGACTTCATAGCTTGTATTTATGTATTTGTGCATATATATTATATATATATACAATATATATATACACACATAGAAATGTAATAATAATACTCAGAGAAAAAATAATTTCAGGGGAGGACATGAGAAGGGTTAAATGAGGGTACCTCGGGGGAAGGTGGGGGCTAGAGGGTGGAAAAAGGGAAGTTTTTCTAATTTAATTTAAAATGCATTTTTAAGCCATATGATTTCATAAAGAAAAAATCACTTAGATTCATGTGCAAATGGAGACAGATTTTTCTAATGCATGAAATAAGTGCTCTGGGCAAGAAATTAGAATGTTGAAAACTTCTAGCCCCTTTACGGCCAAAGAATAGGGAAACAATGGGGAACGTGGCAGAAGTCCAAGGTCGCAGCTCATGGCATCCCTATCTCTGGTAATTTAGAGTGTTTCATTCAAGACAAGCTAGCCAATTTCTTGGGTACAAGATTATCTCTATATAAACATAGATATCGCTGTAGAACACAGAATGCCCTCCACTATAATACTAACTCTGGGGAAACCATAAGTTAAGATAATTTACAGACAACACTTCTAAACAGAATAGAACCATTGAAAGTAGCATATTTTAGTTGATAGTGTCAAGATGGATAATGAAAAATGTACCAAGTTAAAAAATAGCCATTCAATTGCAAAGAATACTTAGGCACCTATCTATTAAAACCAACTTGTAACAGCTTATAAGCTAGTGTGGCTAGGCCCATTAAATCAGGATGCAAGCTGGACCTCATTTGCATCTTCTGATATTAAGTTACAACTCTAACCAGGGAACTAGGTAGGCTAACTCAAAATCTTCCTCTCTCCCTCCTCTCCTCCAAGTCCAGCCCTACAGTCTCACCCCTAGTTCTGCAGCAGATCTTCTGTTGTGCTCTCCACCCACTGCCCATATTCCCAGGGGACGAACTAAGCTGATCCTGGCACAGCACCCTGCTTCCCTCCCTCCTGTGAACCCCCTCTCCCCACTCCAGTTCATCCACATTCCTAAGTGTTAGTTCCCAATTCCCAGGAACACATTCTCATTTGGGACTCCACCAGCTGCAGCAACAAGAACCAGAAGAATGTCCCGCAAAGCGACACACAGATATCACACTCTCCTAAGAACTAGAGAGGAGCCGGGCGTTGGTGGCGCACGCCTTTAATCCCAGCACTCGGGAGGCAGAGCCAGGCGGATCTCTGCGAGTTCGAGGCCAGCCTGGGCTACCAAGTGAGCTCCAGGAAAGGCGCAAAACTACACAGAGAAACCCTGTCTCGAAAAAACAAAAAAAC